CCGCCTCCCCCCCTGCCTGCCCCGGCCTCGCGGGGCTGGAGCCAAGCGCTAATAATAATATGGGGTCGGGAGGGGGGTGAACGATAAATAACAACAGGGCTCTCTTCTCCAAGGAGCCCAGGTGCAGCTGAATGGGTTTGGGCCGGATCCCTTCCCGCTGCAAACCCGCTGGTGCGTACGGGAGTTCTGCTGAGGATCCGGCCCGATACATGCAGGAATCTTTTACCCGGTGATGAAATGCAGCTACTTCTGGGACAGAGCCCAGCAGCTTTTCCGTGCCAGCAAATACTACAGGGGAAGTGAAAAATCACTTCATGCATTGAAAGTGCAGAGATGAACTTAGTGAGGCAGAATATAAATTACCCGGAGTTAGGTAGCTTGTGCCCTGTGGTTTGATTTACACCATCCCTCTTGCAAAAGTATCACGAGATTGTTAACAACCATAAGGACCTTGGCCCATTTCCTTCCAGGCCACACAGAGCAGCTTCCCAGAAAGGGAGAATATCCATGCACAGAGAGATCTGGCTGCTAAATAGACCCAGGGACCGTGGTCTGATCCTGCGGTTCTTCCTCTTGCCTGGAAGATGGCTGCCGCCTGGAGCAGGATGCTGAGTTACCAAATGGTGCTGAGCTGAGTCAGGGCAGAGCATCTCCTCCCAGCTATATGCGATACCTCAGACTGTTCTCGGATGCCAGGGGAGGTTTTTCCCTGCTCACTGTCCCTCTGTACTGCCATGTCCAGCCGACCTGCTGGGACCGGAGCTCGGCTGGACAGGGCTGCAGCAGGCTGCGGCTTGTAATCAGTGTGGAAAAGGGAAACATTATCAAGCAGAGAGGCCTGGGGAAGGAAACTGGATATATCCACTGGCTTCTTCTGTCTGGAGAGAGTCAAATATGGGCAGAGCTGGACTAGACAAATGAGGTGACATTCACCAGCGTTCGACTGTAGGCGTAGGATAGCTGTTGCTGACTTGACGGGCTAAGCTGTACTGTTTCAGGGAAGAAAAAGTGCTAGGACTAGTGGGAGGGAGGAACAGGAGAAAGAGCAGAAATCAGAGGAGCAGCTGATTTAGACTGGGCTGAAGACAATTGAAGGACTCCAGTTCACTTCAGGGATGCCGGATCAGATCCTAAGTGAAGGTGGCATAAATTGGGCATAATCATGTCATTTTGAAAAGGAGCTAAGAGTCAGGACCAGGATTCCCTCTGTGGTTGGGGAGTTTAACACATCACGTCTAAACCTTTGCAGCTCCCGGCTCAGTGAGCTGTTTTCTTGCAGCCTTGAGGCAGGACCTGCAAGCAGCATCACAGGAGAGAGAGAAAGACACTTATTTATTTTTGCTGTTTGTTCTTCTGAAGTCATGTGCTCTACATCCATTTTATTGTTGCCTACAAGGCGCAGCTGACAGAGCTTAGCTATGCAAAACGCTGTTGCTGTGTCTGCTGACAGGCCCGTTCAGAGCTCAATGCTGGGTGAGAGTCGTGCCCATGGCGGCATCAATGCCCCCATGGCTTTGGTGATGGCATGTCTCTAGGTGTTGACACAGCATTCCCCAATGCTTGAACTCTCATACACACGATTCCCTGCTCCTATTTCAGAAAAACAACTAGTTGCACTGCTGATGGATCACCTCTTACACTGGCAATAGAAATAACAGTAAGTCAGAGCAGCAGCAGCTGATCGGAGCAAATAATCTAAACCAGCTTCAAATGGTGGCCTCCGGAGGAGGACAGAGTGAATAGCCTTTGCCAGGCACATACTGTTGTTGTTCACTGTTTATATTGGTGGTAGAAATGCTGGGCAGAGGTAGAAACTCAGGTGCCAGGAGCACCAGTATGGCTTTCAAGCCCTAGAACAAATTCTCTCTGTGTGTTAGCAGTGGGCA